AAGTGCTGTGCTCGACATTGAAAACAAAGTTATTGACACTATAATGATTTTATAATTATTTATGAAAAAGGTAGTAGTGATGCAACATTTAGAAATAGATCAAGTGGTATTTATGTATATCAGAACTAGGGAATGAAACCTTTCGAGGAGTGCTTGAAAGCACCACAGAAACGACTCGAAAGGATCTGTAATGAGGAGAGCGCCACACCGTGGTAGCTCAAAGAGTAACTAAAAGTACAACTACATTAAAGAATACAGCTCAATTAGAATAAACATCAGGCATTAGATCTAAGAAATATTTTCCAAAAGTCTAAAAGCAAGTAAATACTGGATAAGTCTAAATATACTGTATGCCAAACCCGCCAAAATCACAGTGAAATGCACTTTACTGTTGACTTTGCATAATGCACTTATCAAGAATCAATTAAACTAAAACCAATGTAGCTTAATATGGTAAAAAAGCACACCTTAATTCAAATTAATAAATACTGTTAACTACTATTAAAACATTTGAAATATTATAAAACCAGAATGTCACCCCCACTCCAAAAAAAAAAAGCATTCAAACTCAACATGTTTACCTAAACATGATATAAATCTCAGAATATATAATCAGATGTGAGTTCAAAAAAAAGAAAGAAAATGAAAGTATAAACAGTAAAAGCCCCCTCCTTAATTCAAATTAATAAATACTGTTAACTACTATTAAAACATTTGAAATTATTATAAAACCAGAATGTCACCCCCACTCCAAAAAAAAAAAGCATTCAAACCAACATGTTTACCTAAACAATGATATAAATCTCAGAATATATAATCAGATGTGAGTTAAAAAAAAAGAAAGAAAAAGAAAGTATAAACAGTAAAACCCCCCTCCTTAATTAAAATTAATAAATACTGTATTAAAACATTTGAAATATTATAAAAACCAGAATGTCACCCCCACTCCAAAAAAAAAAAAGAAAAAGCGTCCAAACTCAACATGTTTACCTAAACATGATACAAATCTCAGAATATATAATCAGATGTGAGTTAAAAGAAAGAAAGAAAATGAAAGTATAAACAGTAAAAGCCCCCTCCTTAATTAATTAATAAATACTGTATTAAAACATTTGAAATATTATAAAACCAGAATGTCACCCCCACTACAAAAAAAAAAAAGAAAAAGCGTCCAAACTCAACATGTTTACCTAAACATGATATAAATCTCAGAATATATAATCAGATGTGAGTTAAAAAAAAGAAAGAAATGAAAGTAATAAACAGGAAAAGCCCCCTCCTTAATTAAAATTAATAAATACTGTATTAAAACATTTGAAATATTATAAAAACCAGAATGTCACCCCCACTCCAAAAAAAAAAAAAAAAAAAAAAAGCATTCAAACTCAACATGTTTACCTAAACATGATACAAATCTCAGAATATATAATCAGATGTGAGTTAAAAAAAAAGAAAGAAAAAGAAAGTATAAACAGGAAAAGCCCCCTCCCCTCCTCTCCCTTCCTCTTTTCCCTCCCGCCTCTGACAAAGCCACCGACAGCCTCCGGGCGGCAGCCTCACCTCACCCGGTCCATCCGCAGACCTCCAGCCGCTGTCGGTGCCTCCGCGTCTGTCAGGCCCTGCTGTTGACTACAGAGGAATCTCACCTCTGGATCGGAGTTAAAAACATTTACGGTGGGTAGCCTTCGTAAAACAGCGTGTTTAAAACGTGTTCCGATTTAAGAATGTAGTTTTTTATTATTATGAATTAATATTCCCCCTTTTTTTTTTGTTGTTTTGTTACGAAGAGGCCTCGCTGACATCGCGTTGAGCTAAGATGCTAGTATTGTGCACGGTAATGCTAGCTGCAGCCTGGTTAGCTCATACGACAGCGTTGGTTGTATAAAACACACAACGCGGAGGCTGCAGCTAACCTCTAACGCGTTATATCTCACGTTTTACGCTTTAAAGAGCCTCCCTTTAGGTCGGTTTTTCATTTGAACTACCAGCAAACCCGCTGCTTTGGTCGCAGCATTGTCGTCGTTTAGCCCGTGTTAACAGGTGGCTAGGTCACATCTTACAACGACGCCAGGCAGCGATAAAAACGTGTTTACCTTTGAACCAGGTTGTGTCGTTACAGCTCCAGTTAAAGCCAGGTAACCATTAATGTTGTGTACTGTAACGTGATGTAGAAGGGGAAAAAAAACAAGTGGTCAAGTAGCCATCACGTCAACATTAGCTGGAGCATTAGCGGTGACAAGACGTAGAGTTGCGGCGTTAATGTGAGTTTACTTTGTTGGTGAGCTGCGTTTTTGGACAGGTTTTGTAGATGTAGCAGCCCGTTTTCTGTGTGTTTTAATCTACCTGCTCTTGTTTTGCAGATAATGCCCACAATAAAACTGCAGAGCTCTGATGGAGAAATCTTCGAGGTGGACGTTGAGATAGCCAAACAGTCTGTAACCATCAAGACTATGTTGGAAGGTATAACTTTTATAAATCACACACTTTTGACTCCACTCTGTCACTTAATGGTTGACTTTTTGTATTTTTCTCCTTTGCTCTAATTTAGGGGTTTTATTTTAACTTGATTTTTAAAAAAAAAACCTAACTTTGTTGGATCTATGAGGCTGATTTGTGACATTGATTCATTTATCGGACAGATTTGGGGATGGATGATGAAGGAGACGATGACCCAGTTCCCCTCCCTAATGTGAACGCTGCTATACTCAAGAAGGTAACACACAACAATAAATAAAGTATCTATCTATCTATCTATCTATCTATCAGATGTGTTGAGATTTAAACAGGTTTCCCACACGTTGAATGATATGAGAGTTAGATGTTAACATTCACAGATATTCTAAGAAAGAAACTTGGTCATCTAGCAGAAGTAACGAGCACGAGCTTGTGGTTTCCATGGGTGTTAATTTATTTGTGCATTGAGGCAAATATACTATAAACACAGTGAAATTTGAATTCGTGCACTGCTCGCTGAGTCGCAGGTTTATTAGTTGTTTTTAATCAGTTATAAATGAGAGATGAAGTTACTGACTCGTGGTAGGGTGTAAGATTTTTACAGCAAAGTCTCAGAAAGTTTCACAGTATTTATTTTATGCGTCACAATGATCCTTAATGGAAGGATTTTTTTGCTTTATTATAATTTCACTTCATATTCAGTCCTATATTTTACCGTATACTGTAGAGAAGTAAATCCACACGGTATAATAACAGTCAATTGTCATGACGTGAATGTTTTATATTAGAGCTAAAAGCCTTCCTGAAGGTAGGATTCATCACAGTGCTGCTGCATCAAATTCATTTGTTTTAACTAGATGGAGCAACAAAAAACAAACTTGGCAACTGAGTGTATGTTTAGTTTGTCTGCACATTCTGTTAAGATGAGTCAAATTTTTACCTGCTGAAACACAAGCTACTTGTTTCCTTTTCCCCTTGTTAGTTGTTGTCAGTAATTTGTGGGGGCAGGAGGCTTTGAAGGCTTGTTTCTTTTTGCCTCTTCTCCAAGTTCACGCTTGTCCTTCAGGGTTTTAAGATTGTCTTATCTCAGTTGGAGAACTCGAACACATTTGTAGCTACAAAGTTTGCGAAATAAGAGGGAGAGGCGAGGCACACAGTGATACTAGACACAGCAGAACATTTTTATTGTGGTGTTAAAACCCCAGTGCCAGGGTGAAATGCAGTGCTGATGGATGCCATATATATTTGACTGGTTATGACCACTGTAATGAGCCACCTTTTAGTTAAAACTGTGTGTGTGTGTGTGTGTGTGTGTGTGTGTGTGTGTGTGTGTTTCTCTCAGGTGATTCAGTGGTGCACTCATCACAAAGATGACCCTCCTCCTCCTGAGGATGATGAGAACAAGGAGAAGAGGACAGATGACATTCCTGTATGGGACCAGGAGTTCCTCAAAGTGGACCAGGGCACCTTGTTTGAACTCATTCTGGTAAATACACCTACACATTATATTACCTTTACGTTACATTGACCCACATTCATACTCTGGAGGTTGACACTAATCTTAACTACAACCAGTACATGCCAAACCCTAATCCCTCAACTGGAGTTTAACCAAAAACAGAACCATAACATAGTTAACATGGGTGCCAACCGGTCCCGAAAGTCTAAAGTCCATCAGTTGATTAAGTGGGTTTAGTTTTGAGCCTAAACCCCAGAAGAAGAAATGTTCCCATACATCTAATGTTGTGATGTTTTTCTGCATTTTAATTGCATTTCAGTTTAGGTAAAGAAGGCCAGTGAAGACGAATCGATCAATAATATGATGAATATAAGATACTGTATCATTAATGTTTATTTTCTTCTCATTTCCAATGTCGTGAATGTAAAATAGAGTTTATATTGAGTGGTATTGTATGATTTGACTTGTGAAGACATTTACTTTGACAGACGTTTTATAGAAAGTCGTCATCGAAAGCGTATGTTCTCTTTTATCTTCTGTTGTGACGTTAAATGGGAGCATTTCTTTTGTGACCTTCCTCAGGTCTGTTTCATTCACTGCTGTGGCAGAGTGCGGAGTGTTTTCATTCGGGTAACAGAGAAACAAAAGTTGCATAGCAACAGCTGGAAGATTGGCAGTTTGGGAAACTGCTGCAGAAGAGGAAGGGATTTAAAAAGACTTGTTTTGAGGGGGGAAACCGCAGGGAGTGATCGTGGATTTTCTCTGGGAAGCATGTGACAGTAAAAACCAGGCAGAGCGCGTGAAAGGTAACCCAAGCAGTGCCTGGGAGTGATTGGGAAAGAGGTGTCGCACAAGCTGTGGGCTTCCAGGAAGTGAAACACAAGTCGGAGTGTCCGTCACTTGAGTTGATCAGCCCCCCTCTGGCTGTTTTTCAACGTGTTTACACGCACGGAGCGACAGGATGCTGAAACGGCAGGGGTGACGTGGTAGCTCAGCGCCTGTGCCATATTAAAAGAATGAATGCAAGGCTTTGTCAGTGACCACCAACTGATGTGTGTAAGGTTCAGATATTACGGGAAAAACAGCGGGAGTGGAGTTTTTGTTCAGTGAACTCATTACAGGCTGTAACCTGATGCCTCACTCAGACGTAGGGCTGGAACATAGGGCGGAATCAACATTGTAATATTAATAATGGTTTCCATCTCTGTGTATCTAGATATAGTATATACATTTAGGCGGAAAAGTTGAATTCATCTTTTAAAATGAATTTTGAAGTGCGTGCGACGGTGCGAGCGCTCCTTCCTGCTAGAAGACTTTAAGACGTGCCTCTCTTTGCCACCGTTACCAATTCTTGCTCATGGATGCATGTCCCATTTCTACATGTTTGGCAAAAGGCAAAGGATTGTCGTCATGGTAACTTTCCAGAGTTATAAAATCTCTTAAAGTTTCTTAAACTGCTGTGTTGTGTTTTTGTATCTGATGAGCCTTCAACGTGATGGGTATATTACGCACACTAACCTTCTGGCCCCATTTACGCTCTGTTGTAATGTGCGCTCTGCGTCTGGGTAGTGACATCTGTTCCACGGGCCTTCGCATTGTCGTCTGGCATTAATACGCTTTCTTGTTATCTCGATTCAGCCGTGTCAATATGCAGTTAGTAAGCCCGGCTGGCGGACTTGACAACCAGCATGGGTCAAAGAAAACAATGCCCGTAGATGGCGTCATTCATTTTTAAATACATTTTGGTGAGGGAAGACTTGTTAAGTACTGTCGCTGCTTGTTCCTTTTTGTAGGGCTTGCTTCAGCTAACAGGGAGAGCTGGAGTCGGTTACCTTTTAACTTGGCTCCGATCCAGCCTCCTCCTTCAGATGAGGTCTGAGCGATCTAATCACATTCTGATCACAATCTGTTCTGCGTTTCTCCTTATCCAGAGAGGATTCCCAGATGCAGATGTTAACGGGGTATTAATTGTTGCGCGGGTACCTGAAACATGCCCCATTCGTGCAGCTTCTTGTGGCTGTAATTCAGGGCTGTTTTCTGTCTGAACGCCCGGTAACATGCTTTTATTTCTCATCAGCATTAAACCCTGACAGTCGGAAAAACTACCGCATAGAAAATAACCAATAGCTTCATGCGTTTTAGTCCTTGAAATAAATAAAAACCAAACGGCCTCGACTGGCTGTTAATAGAACCGTAAGTGTTGATTTAGTCCTTGGAATGGCGAGGCGTGTCGGTCAGTCCTTGGCGCTTCATGTCACTTGTTGTTTTCTGTTTTTAGGCCGCCAACTATTTGGACATCAAAGGCCTGTTAGATGTCACCTGCAAGACGGTGGCCAACATGATCAAAGGCAAAACCCCGGAGGAGATCAGGAAGACTTTCAACATCAAAAATGATTTCACAGAGGAGGAGGAAGCCCAGGTAAGCTATTCCATCCATCACGTGTCTGTCATTAAACAAAAAAGGCCTCATATATGGTAGTAGAAATTAACATACGACTTTGCACTGATGCAAAAAAATGTTTTAATAATGCCCTTTTATTCTGTATAAAGCAGCTTAGCTCATGTACCTGCCTGCCACATATTTTTGGAAACTCAGTCCGTTTGTCCGTCCTCTCGTCCACAGGTACGCAAAGAGAACCAGTGGTGTGAAGAGAAGTAAAGGGGAGGATCCTGCCAACACTACCACACTGAAAAGGAACTGTCCCCGCTAACTGGTTGCACTGGCGTTGTTCATACTTGTCAATATTTAGTATATTTAGAGCCACATGCCCACCCACCTCCCTCCTCCTCCCTCCTCCTCCCTTCCCCCCCCCATTCCCTCAATTCCTGTATACCAATAGCATGACCATTTTAACTTGCCTGTGTGTTGTCATTAATTTAAATAAAAATGCTCTTTTGTTTCCACACTCCAAAAAAAGAAATAGTTCTGGTTTCATGGCTTTGTACCCTTAAAAATTAGAAGACGGCCCTTTCATATTTTCCCTGTTGCAATGGTTGTCTTTTTTACTGGAAATGTTTTCTTTCAGGTTGATTGAATAAAATGGCTTTTTTGACAATGGAAGAGAGGGTGACTATTTTATTTTGGCTCTGTAAATGCATATGTTATGTGAAACCATGTTAAGAGTGGATGGGATGTTCATAGGAAAAGTTTAGTTTGAGGTGGAAAGATGTTTTTATTTGCATAATGTCCGTTGGACGCGAAGTACTTGTGTTGTGGCGCAGCATTGGGTAACTTATTCCTAATTCATGTATTGAATTGGAAACTTTTCTCAGATAACCTCTGATGCTGGCTTTTGGGATGATCAAACGTATATTGAAGGAGTAAATAAAACACATAAAAAGGTTGGCGTTTGTCATTTTTTTTGTTTTCGAAAGTACCAGGTGCAGACAAGCATGACCTTCTTTGGGACAGTTTGTTTTTATTTTAAAAGTTATGTCTCTGAAACCATCATTCTTGAAATGTCCTTGTGCCTTAACTACAGTAGACATGGACAAGATATTCAAAACACTTTTAATACATCAAACAAAAAACAAGTAATACATCAGAGGCGTTAAAAAATACAAAAGACATCTTCAAGGCGTTGCCACTATGGGGAACACTCAAAATAAAAACAAGCTATTTCTAGCACAAGAGCTCTCTCTGCTGGAGGAAAACGGTTTTGCTGTACAAAGCTCAGCCTACAGTTTGTCCACAGAGTGGTAAGCTGAGTTTGAAAGCTGCAAGCAGAATGGTAAATTAAAGCCTTTTTAGTCAAAATCTATTTTTTGTTACATTTAAAAAGGTGGAACATGCACAGGTTGAGAACACAAGATATCGTTTGAACGCTGCCGCAGTAACACTTGACCAAGAAAATTCTGCACAAAAAAGGACAAACAAAATGTATTGCTTTAAGAAATGGTAGAAACTAAAAATCTCTTTTTTTTGTTATTTCGCTCATTTTTTTTTTTTTTTACATAAAAACATATAAAAGTTTATTATAATACGTAATTCCAACATTTATAAAACTTTACAACACAATGCAATATTATAGTACCCATTTGGTCTCAGATTAGTTTATGGAACTGCAAAATGTTCAGTCAAAGGAAAAAATAAACAAAACCTCGTCTTTCTCTGAGGGTTTCCCCACCGGCAAAACATCTGACCTTAAAAAAAAAATCACATGAGATGCACACAAAAATAAAAATAAATTTGGAGAAAACGGAGCAAAAATGTAACATTGACATAGCGAGAGACTGACAGCCTGAAAGTGCCTAAAAGAAATGATGTAACTTAAAGCTGGGGACTTTTATGTTGAATTCTCTGACTTGTTTTAACCTGCTGAAAATTGTTTTATTTTCCTTTTGTCACAGGGGCAGTTATAAAAAAATGTTTGGAAATGGAATGAAACTGAAGTCAAACTGAAAATGGCAGCTAAAAAAAAAAAAAGAAGTAAAAACTGTCCCTCTCTTTAGACCTGAGGTTCTGCTGGTCAGGCTGGCTGGTTGTTGGTCTGTCCTCCCCTCTGGGTGGGTCTGAGAGTGATGGATAATAACGTCTGAAGAAGAGTCTTCTGCCCTCTCACCTTGATGCCAGATTAGCTCTTACAACCAATCTCTGCCTCAATTTTTAGGTCCGCGTTGCTGTGATTTGTTTAACAAAGAGTTCATTTACAATACATCTTGTTTGTGATTGTCATGGAGGTCGAAACACAGGGTCGGCTTTGGAAAAAAAAAAAAAAGGAGCACCGAGGGGCTTAGGAGGTGTATTTTTTAAATTATCTTTTCAAGAGGCAGAGCTGTCCTCAAGGCAAAATTGTTTTAGTTGAGTTTAAGCTGCAGCAGATGGAGCCAAAGAACCACAGATTTTAAGGTTCCAGATTAATTCTGCCTTTCAGTGCAACTCTGCCCTCTGTACAACTGGAACTCTTGATGACTGGTGAGATGTGGTCACCAATTCAGGCGGCCGGATCCTCCTAAGGATCCCAAGTGGATCCTTCAGTGGATGGTTTAATTCAACAGTTTAGCCTCACACAGACTACATTCAGGTGCTCCTAGTCAGTTCAGTAAGTTTATTATTGCCAAATTTACAGTTTGACTGAGTTAACTGTAGATACTAAATTTATGTTGAGGCTTGTGACCACCTGAACCACATATATACCAAATATTATGTGATTTTGTACATTTCCAGGTTGACAAGGATTGTCTGAACGCTTGATTACAGAACTGACCATTTGAAGGAGGCTTTGAGAGGGAATAGACTTGTTAATGATCTATTGAAATGCAGCATCTGAACTGGGACACAGCTAGTATCTTACTCTGGGGTAGCAGGGCGGATCACCTATCCCCCTTCATCACTACACCACCTCTCCACCATTGGTCACTCCTTTTTCTTTTCTTTTTTTTTTTTTTAAATCAAACACACGGACCACAGGATATAGATAAGTGAGAATGAAGGCAGGTGAGGAAGATGATCTTCACGGCTCCTGGAGGAAGCTGAGGTGAATGGGGTCAGGGATGTGAGCGGACCGGAGCGATCACTGAGTCTCTGTCAGCACTTTGAGAGAAAGTCCTGCAGCCTTGGCGGCCGACAGTGCCGTCGTCGAGCTGTGCGTCTGCTTGCCGGACAGTTCCAGGTGTGTGTGGGCATGTTTGGTCGCCGGCTGACGGACGTCGCAGCGCTTGCCGGCGGACTGCTGCAGGGGTAAGCGTGTGTGTGAGCGTGTGTGTGTCGGCGGAGACAAGGGGAGGCGTGTCGACGGGGAGGTGGGTGGTGGGGAGCAGCCCGGGGAGGTGGGGCGCTGGTGCTGGTACAGACCGTGGCGGGAGGGGGAAGGGGAGGGGGGAGAGTCTATAGCACTTAAATCTGAAGAAGTTGGGCTGGGGCAGCCTCCTCCTTGAAGGTAGCGAATGCACTTCTTTTTCCTCCTAGGGACAGTCAGAGAGAGTTATCTGTGAATAAAGTGTGGATGGTAAACGTCAGCAGGCTTCAGTGAAGATGCATCATTCACACCGATGTCAATGAACAGGGAGACACATGATCACAATGAACAACAGAGAAGTATTAGTGTCAGAAATATAGTTCTGAAAGTCTAACTATTTTCTAGATATTAAAGAACCTAGTGTTTTTAATTTTGGTCTCTTTCATAGGGTTGAAGAAACAAACAATTTGAATATTGGTGTCAGTGGAAGGTTAAATATTTAAGATTGCTTTAAAGGTATATTTTGATATTTTGGGAAATATGCTTAATGAATACTAATTTCCATGTCTGTGCTAGATCTGTGTCATGGAACTAGAGGCAGGAGATGCTTAGCTTAGCTTAGCTCAGCTTATCATTGAGAAACTGGGAGAAACTGCAACCAACACCTCTAAAACATGTTGTCTCATTAGTTTGAAATGTAGAAGCAAAATCTGGGCGGATGGATAAATGATTGTTTGGAAATTAATAGTTAGACTACTTAACTCGCTCTAAAACCACAAATTTGTTTGTTTGTTTGTACATTTCTCCCTGTGTTACATTTGAACAAATGATATATAATGTGAATGACTGAGCTTTAAAAGTGTTAGCAGATGTATTTTTTAAACTTCAAGCTCCATAGTTAAATAATAATAAAAAAATATTTAGGAGCAGGGAATACTAATTAAATGTATTATTAATTTACAATATTACTTCAGTTTTTATTTAGTACTATTAGTCTGAAACAATGAACTCAAACAAAAATGGTCTCATGGAGTTGATACAATGTCCTTATCAATATAAATCACCACAGAATCAGTGTTCATTGCATAGAAATTGCATTACGCAGTCAGGTGTTTCAGTTATTAATTGTCCATCCCACGTGCACTATGCTCCTGGTTTGCACCAAACATACTGCAAACAGGAGTGACGTGCTGTGCTTTGTGAGGTGTTATACTTAAAAGCAGATCTTGTGTAGCGCTGAGCGCAGCATCAAAGCAGTTAACAGGATCCCATGATCATTACCAGAATATGATATGAGTCACCAGGTTTAACCGCAAGGAAAGGCGCTAGGCCATATTTAGAGAGAGAGAGAGAGGGAGAAAGGGAGGAAGACTGCAATAGAAAGTGATTTCTAAATGTCAGAGTTCACCATCAAAAGGCGCATGTTACCACATCGCATGAATGGAGAAAGTTGAAAGCAGATGGGCATGAGAACGCCGTCATAATGCAAAGCTGCAGGGAGTTGTGTGTGTTGAGCTGTGGTGATAAGGATTTGCTCTAACCACATTCACCCCCCTTTGTTCTTTAAAACCGAAACACACACACACACACACACACACACACACACACACACACTTAGATTTCCATGACGTGATGGTGGGGAAGACGACAGGGTTGCTACAGTGCTGTGGTGGTAGAAGCTGTCTCTGCAGAACCACACAGATTCCTGAGTCCTGCAGTGAAGCTCTGGTCTGTTGTCTACTGTAACTGCTGTGACTAAAACCCAGCAGTCTGACGTGGTGACAGGCCTGTTTCTGATGATTTATATTATTACCATAGATCTGCTTTATTGCAGAGAACCAGGATTGTTGCAGATTTTGAAGAAAAGGTCAGGAAAGAACGCACATTTATTGTATTGGATATTGTAGCTGTTGTCCTAAATAAGCCTTAGGTAGCTCCGAACAGATAAATATAAATAAATTAAACACCCTGTGTAGTCTGGGTACTTGATCATTATTCATACTAAACTCTGTAAATCAAGTTTCCTGTTTTATAACTTTGTGCGTATTCAAAAATTTTATTCCAGTTGTCTCAGACTAACACTGCTCACACTGGGAAATTCCCAGCTTTAGTTCATAATTACAAGCAAGAGAGAAACATGGCTGCTAGCACAATGTAATCAATGTAGTTTTGCAACCTTTGCTGCTGAAATAGAATAAAGCTTTAGATACTATAATGAAAAACTTCAGAGTAGAAATATTTTGTGCAAGTTTGACCTTTTTCACAGGTGTTTCAAATGTTTTATTCACTGCTGATGATTATGCAAGGATACAGCTCAACAAGTTCTATTTTCCACAATTGTAATGGCCAAGCAGCACTGTAGCCATGCCTTGAATCGAATTGAAGTTGCAATAATAAGTTGAATGTTTTTCTTTGTAGAAATGTCAGACCTTGTCGAGTGAATTCATAAATATGTTAGTCGATGTTATTCGAAGTTGCCAGAAACAAAATAACAGGCCTCATGTTTGTGCAGTTCTGACATAAATCCTGTACAGAAGATCAGCCAGGAAACAGAGAAACGTATAAATGTCTCTTTCTGATATCAAACCCCACTGACACGTGAGTAAGCTTTTGTTTTAGGTACCATATAACCTCCTCTGGCGGCCTTTTATTGAATGGTTTTCCCCTTTAACCACATGAACTCTACAGAGCCTGTATGATACAATGCATTGTAACAGCAGTGTAAAACCCAAACCACCTTTGACCTTTAAGGTGCAACATCACAGCAAAACAACGGTGAAACAGGTTTTTTTGGACCTGATCCCGGAACAGTAGTCCTGTCGGTAAACCTTGATAACGTAGATTACGTTACTGACCAAAAGGGGTATTCCACTCAAAATCAGCAGAGAAGTAGATGATGCTGAAGGAGTAGGTCGTTTTGGGGATATTCAAATTATTTTTTATAACTGTGAAAATGTGGGTGTATTGTGTTTTTTCAGTTACTATCCAACTATGTATCTCTGACTATAATGCTTGAGTTTGCAGAGCAGCGAGTTAGTGACAGACAGCATGCAGAGCTTAGGTTGGATTTTCAAACATTTGGAGGCGGAGCTCGTCTTGAGGCAGACATAGTCTCCTTGGTTGAGTTTATCCTCAATGGGTGGAGATTGGTAACTTTCAGTAGTTATGTAAGATTAATGGAAAGTCCGAAGGACAAGAGAGGAGGAAGCTAAAACTATAATGCATTCTGAATTTGATCAGACTGAGATCTTTACTACTTCCAGAGCAGCTCCGCCTTTGAGACATGTTTGAATAACTAAGACCCCCATCAGGAGGGAAGTGATGCACTGATGGACAGATGGGAGGACGACGGCACTGCGGTGCTATGGAGAGGGTGGGGTGGATGTTTGGTACACACCTGCAAGGACCACACCAGTCCGTTTGTTGGTTGAGGCCGAAGCGAGCCCGGCATTTCTTAGGAGAGCCCGGGTCTGAGCACAATGCACAGCATGCACAAAACAAGGAGGAGGAAAAGCAAGAATAGAGAGGAGCAGAAGGAGGAGAGGAAAAAAAGGTGAGGACAAAGAGAGGAGAGATAAAGACGGTTGAAGAGGAGAGGAATAAAGATAGGAAAAAAAGAGACACAAGTGATTGTCAGGGCAGGAAAAAAGCACCAACAGGGCTGTCCGTTCAGAGAAAGCCATCAAGTCAAATTGTTAGTAGCTGGTTACAGCACAGCAAAACATCAACAACCACCAGAATAACCTCCCAACACATGCACACAAACAAACACATAAATACACACAAACACACACACACTTTAATTAACCAAAAAGTCAGACATCCTGGAAACAGGCTGTTAAGAGAGACTCAGAGAGGGCGGCCGTGCTGTTACACTCCGTTAGTTCAGGATTATAAAGGGTTTTCGCTTTCTGGCAAAGATGCAGTCACAAGTTGCTTTATCTCAAGGAAATCCAGAAATAGAATCTTTGCTAAGTCTCTGTTTAAGGTTGAAGGTGGGCCTAATATTGGAATCATGGATCAGATTTCTAATTAAAAATCAGATTTAATTTAAATGTAATTTTTGTCTTACATAAAACAGCAGAGTTGCCTGCAGGACATTTGAGATTTACGTCATTTAGCTTTAAAACTGCTACAAGTTGTTACTTTCTCACTTTTGATGCTATCTGCTAATGCTAGTTACTACTATAGCGTCAGACACAGTGGTTCTCAACCTTTTTGGTGTCGAGGACCCCCTAATTGAGATCAGGCCTGTATTTGGTAACATGTAGTCTCAGGCATCCCCATCTGATAAGATTTAGTTATTCCATAACTGTCTATACTGTGTATTGGCAGATTGACAGTGAAGACTATGAGCAGAATAGTCATTCCTAATAGATTCTCTTATTGTGATAACTTCTAGTCAATTAAATAATAGTGAAATTAAAGTATTCCCTATATTTCTGGGGACCCCAAGGAACACCCTCAAGGACCCCAGGTTGAGAACCACAGTGTTCGCATGAGCACTCTCGTACAGTGAGTGATCTCTTAGGGACATGTGAAGGACTTTTATGTGTGTTTTTATTTACTGGTAAAGAGATTAAAAAAGAGATTGGAAAATATTTTTGATTGCATTAATATGGCGCAGAAAAAGGGGAAATGGCATCATATCTGACATTTTGAAGTCGGACAGATCAGGACATAACGTTTTGTGCACAATGTTTATAATTCAGGTTACATGGAAAGCCGAGTGGGTGGGTGGTTTGACGTTAGAGGCACATCCTGCCTCAAAGACACTAAGATGTTGTGTGCTACAGAGCGCCAACGCAAGTTAAAAGCTCAACTGAATTCTCTCTTATATAGTTGACACTGGCCACTCGCTGTCTTACACTGAAACATGGTATCTATTTGACAAGAGAAAGATATTTAGATGTTTACCTGTATTGGAGTCCTGCAGCTTCTCCCTTTTTCTCCTCTTCTTCTTGCCCTGTGTGAGAAAAACAAAAACAAAATCCACCCAATGAATTACTTATTTTGTCTATTATGGCCTCCATTAATTATTTCTGGAATCCTCTCTGCTTTCCCGGTTAGCTTAATATGTTTGTTTACTACCCTCAAGCGCAATCCCCCTTTGAAAGCAGTGTTCAAACTGTATTCTTTTATCAACAGAAATCTGCACCATATTAAAAAAAAAAAAGGAGGTTTCTTTTAATGCAAAGTTCAAAGCAGCAACCAGGTCAGGCAACCATATTTAATGGTCTACAAAAGCAAGAAAAAAGCAAGAAAGATAAAGAAAAACAAACAAGAAAATACATTGCATCCACAATGTCATTGTACACTTCATGCAAAACCCGATGTGTCGTCACCAAAAAGTAATCGATGAAAAGGAGATCTGAGACGCGAAAAAAAAAAAAAAGAATCAGTTTATAAAAGATTTGTAGATCACCTTGGATCCAGGCATCTTGTTTTCATATTTATAGTCCTATTTCATTGTCTCCAGGCTGACTGTAATGTGTGACTGTTGAGGTAAACATCAGAGTTGTTCACACAGATCCGGTGATGGTGAAGTGAGGCCTCATATTTGGGTGAGATGAAGGATGTGGGCACAGAGATCTACCGCCTACGCTTCGATGTCTGCCCTCCTCAGCTCGCTGTCAGCATTGTCTATGTGGTTACAACAACAACTACTCTTGCAACTGCGCCTTTCTGAAGCTTTATGTCTTGTGGGTGTACGTGTGTGCATATACTATATGCAGGTTTTTTTTTTTTTAGGACTCCTCGGAGGAGAAACCCTCCACAGCTGCGGGGGCGATATGTGGGACTTCGCTTCCTGTTTTGCTAGTGGGTCCAGTGACTGTTTTTTTTTTTTAACCTCAGGAGGAGAGCAGAGAGTGGAGGGGGATGAGGAGTGAGGGGGTTGCTTGAAAAGCAAACAATATAATAAGCACAGCCAAGAAGCCCTGAATTCTTGTATATATATGCTGTCAAAAGTTGTTCTTTTCTGTACATGAGCTTATCAGAAGAGGAATACTTTGGATGAGTAATTCATGTTTCTTTACACTCTTGGAGTGATGAAAGAATTATTTTAAGAGTGACATAAGTTATTAAATTACCTGCCCAATACTCCCATAGTTAAAAATGAGCATTGTACCTATCAGTGAGCCCCCATGTGTAGAAGATCTTTACATATACAGTAGTACTTAGTCGTGATGTTTGTCCATATGAGCTAATCAAACACCATCCACTGTGTTATGCCTTGTTGCGCTGCTTAGAAAATGCTCAAAGCTCCATGCATACAGCAATAGCTCCTACAACCTATGATAACAGTTTACTAGAGCTCCGGTTTATAACATATTCAGAACATCACAAGGACGGTTTTGAAAAGCGAGCTTGGAAATGAAAGCTTAGGGTTGGGACTTTTATTTTGAAATATCTATATCGTCTCGTGCGGCTCTATGAGATCAAAAACCAAATGAAGAATGACATTAGAACTGCATGTTTGTGACATGAAGCGCTCTTTCAGATGTTAAGAACGTGTTATAAACCACAGCCCAAGTGAAGTGTCACCATATCTCGCATGTCATGCCTGCCCGTCTACAGAGTTCAGCTCAATCAGGTGTAGAGAAACAAAGACAGTACAGCAGGAGAGAAGCAGTTACAGGTTACCACTCTGATAGGTATCTGAAAAAGCAGCTTCTGTTACAACCAAAGCCTTTGATTCACATTTTCCTCATGGTTTTTCTGATATTCACACATTAGCCTATAATGATTAGAAAAGGACGTGTGTCTATATAACCATAACGTGTGTCATTGTTGTTTAGCTATACTGATAACAAAAATGAAGGTGCTGTATTTTAAAAGGAATGCCCCCCCCAAAAAAAAATTAGAAATAAATAAATAACTAAGGCAGCGAGGCCAGCCATGCGGCCCTGCACTCTGTTAGTTGAGCAAAACGGGTTGATTTATACCTCTGTGTGATTCAGTGTTTTACAGATTAACTCACTAGTAGTCATAACCATGGCAACATGCAAGACTTGTATTTGTAACTGACCAATCAGATCTGCGTTTTGCAGTGGCTGGTACTTGCGTGTTGTTTGTGAGGCTGATGTGTGTGAGTCATTAAGATTTTTGGAAGGTGCATGCAAACTTTGCACAGGAATACCCACAAACCCTTTCATGCAGCTCTTCACATACTCATTTTTTCCCCACCACAGAGGCATAAATCCACCATAAGACGTGTCCCTACCCAATCAGCTTTACTCTTTTCCCCTGCGACCCCGCTAAGGCCCGCCTCCTGCAAGAGTTCAACAGCAAACTGACAAGTCAGAGGCACACAGCAGCCCAGATACAGCACATCCCCAAAACATTAGACTAAAACACATGCACCACACAGGTTTGACTTCCTCCTATATTCTGGGAGACCTATTTAATCATTTCATGCCATAAAAGGTTGTAGTTATGTTTTATGACTTTTGACTGACAGGTCTGGGAGCCAATAATCATGCAGGTTGTTGAGACAGTAGCCAGTAAAAGGAAGTAAGTTGAGTAATTCTCTTCAGCTCTGCAGGTGAGAACAATAAAATATGATCAAACCCAGTTCACCAAGTTCTGGTTTATTGAATTGATCCTGTTCTGATTTTATATATTGGTTTTATTTACAGGCAGTCAAACCAGAGAGAAAAGAAGTCAAGTGGTTGGACCACTTCCTGGTGTTTGTTTCATCAAATGTTTTGTAGTTTTCACAGATTTTTCACATTTTCTACTTTTTCTCAAACGCAGCTTTCTGCTTCCAGGAACTGTTTTATGTCAAACAAAAGTATAAATAGCTCTCGTCACTTTCTTACTCTTATTTAGGAAGGAAATTTAATGGTGTGTAAAATTGAAATGAGTTTAAGTATAATACAATGTCCCTTGACATGGGTCAACAATGAAATGAAAAACTCAAAAGTATAACTGATCAT